TAAAAGATTTTTATAGTAATAGTAAACCTCTCAATAAATATCAGATAGAGCAACTAATAGGTGATAAGCTACCATGGCTTTTTTGGTATCAACTCAAATCTCTTTTGGGCAATAGAAATATTAGAGCTTCACCAATACAGTCTTATAGTAATTTTGAGAATTTAATACTTCATTATTTAGAACAACCAAAAGGAACAATCTCGGAAATGTATAGGTAATTACTGCAATCAGAAATAGGAGATCCACCATATGGATTAAAGGAAGCTTGGGATACTGATCTTGGTAACCCCATACAGGAGACAAATTGGCAGCAGTTATGGAAATTGGGTGGATTCACTTCAGCTTCAATGCAAGAATTGCAGTGGAAGATTATACATAGCTGGCATTGGACTCCTGCTAGATTGGGACATATACAGTATATCAAAATTATTCTTCCAAATGCTAGGGAGGTTGTCAAAAAAAGGGGGGGGGGTTTCACTTGTGGTGGTCATGTGATAAAGTTATACCCTTTTGGCAAAAATTTTTTGGAGAGATAAGTATTATTATTAAACAAAGAACTGAATGCTTTCTTGAGTTAGGCTTATTACGTTTATTTACAGAACCAAACCATAAGCTTAAAAATAACGAACTGATTATCTATTTAATTTTAGCAGCCAAAATAATAATTGTGCAATATATATATATTCACATATATATGGTATATATGGTAAATTTTCACATGTATAGCACTTGTCTCTTTCTTCACATTGTAGTAGAACTTTTCTGTATTTTCTATCTTTTTTCTTTATACATATCTTGGATTTACAGTGTGTTAATGTGGCTACCTGATATTGCTTGAAATAAAATTTTAAAAAACTTAAATTTATCATAAATCAGGGCAGTGCTAGTTCTTGAACAGCATAATTAAACCATTCTGCTCATGTCGATCTACAGTACATGAGAGAAAAACACAACTGCTTCTAGACAGATCTTTTAACATTCAATACATATAGTTTATTAAAGTAATTTTATGGAGCATCCAGATGATGTCATCATATGTCCATGGGAAGTTTCTAAGATTTCCAGGATTGGTTCCAAGTTTGAAGGAACCTGGAACAATGTTTCATCTCCTCTGTCAGTGGACTGGTGGAGCTACTGTATTTGGCTGGTTTGATAGTGATCCAGCAGCATTGGGAGACCAAGTCTGACCATTTTTAAAATATTCTATAAAGCTCCTCAAGGACATTAACAGATTGGCTAGATCTTTCTACCTGCTACTAGAATACAGGGACAGGTTTTTTTTAAGAACCCAGAACAAACATCAATAGTGCTACTTAGCAAACACCTTAGGATGCCAGGTGTTGATTTAGGCCAAGCTATCTTCCCAACTAACAATACATAGCTCAATGCTTGCTCTTTTGGCCTTCTTCAATATTAGAGTCTTAAACAGTACATTAACCCCCTTCCAATGAATTACTTGAAGCAATCTACAGAATGGCAAGTTGACTACATTTTTAGGTTTGGTACAAGCCAGGGTCAAGGTCACTACTGACGCATGAAAGAGCAGTGTTGAGAAGGAGAAACAAACTGGAGTCTAGCTGTATTGCAGGACAGCTATATCAGTTAGAAATAGGTATTTTGTATATCAAAGAGGCTGCATCTGCAGAAGTGAAGATAAGCAGTATTTTATAAAATATTTGTCTCTGCTACTTTTTAATACAGTGAAATATTTAGGCAGTTGCAGTTATCCCTGCTCTGGGGCCCTCCAAACATACCAAACTCCAACCTCTTTATAATCTCCATCTGACATAGATACAAGCAACAATGAAAACAATGCTAATATTGCAGCCATTAAGTTTGAAGTTTGCTTGAAGTTATCTTTTAACGAAGTGTGGAAGTTCTACATTATTTGGGGGAAAAAAAGATTCAAATTTGCCAAGAGGTGATGGTTACCAATCTCATTTTTCTATACTTCTCAAAGAAAAATGACTATAATAACCTGGTTCTATTTTTGTTGGTTAGGAACAATTTGATATGATAGTGTAAATGTTCTACTCTATCTTTGCTGCATAATAATTTTTATGTCTACCTGCTTGCTAGCTGCCCAGAGTTGTTGAGAGTCGGGCATCATACAAATTTAATTTAGTGGAGAAAATAAATCTAACAAACAAAATGGAGACTGCACCATTTTCCCTCCAGTTTTTTAGTTATGACCAGAGTCAAAACCCAGTTCATATCTTTGCCTAATCCTATTAGACCCAAATTGACCCTCCTGCTCCCCCACCCCACGCTCTCCTGCAATCCCATGTAAACCAAAGAGCAGAAGCCTCCTCACCAACTCACAGTACAGCCCAAGGGCAGCCCTTACAAGGGAAATGCAACCTAGAGAAACCCCAAAATTCTACTCTCAATCAGCCTGAGGACTTCAACATTCTATCTCCTTTAACTGTGGACTTCCTCAGCTCTGCTGCCCTCCTGAAAGGACCATTTTGTCTAACAACAGAACTCATCCCAGGTACACTGACAAGGACCTGCCCAGCTTCCCCAAACTGGCCAGCCAATGGGATCCCTAGGATTTTCCACCTTGTAGCCCTCTCATTCTTGCTCTTTATAACATAAGTTGCTTTATATTGATTAAAGTGTCAGGTGGACAGCTTCTAATACCAGTCACAGGGCATGTGCAATTTTTCTTTTTGTGAAAAGAAGAATCCCTACTCCATAGGTAAGATAGAGTGATTGGAAATAATATTCTCCTCTGGAAACACTCAACACTTCTCCTATGATTCTACAAACAAGAAAACACAGATCTACAATTAAATCCAGCAGACCCTCCCCACACACATCAACTGTGTTTTGTAGCTTTAGTGCCTAAAACTATAAAACATGTAATAAATAAAGCCAGTGGAATTGTATTATACAGACCACAGGAAGATTGCAGGTCCTTCAAAATTTCAGGAGAACAGAGCAGTTTTATTCTGACACCAAAAATATTGTAATATGGGCACCACACAGAATTCTCTGAAAAGAACTTTCCAGGCCTGGGGATCTGGATATTACTAAGAAAGCCATCTTTCCCTCTAGTTGCTACTCTCCACATTTCTGATGGGGAAAACAGACTGAAGACTTCCACAGAGGAAGATGACCAAAAGTGTTCTTAGCAGCTCAGCATCTAGGTTTCTTTCAAAGGATGAATTATGATCATCGAATTGGTATATAAGTGACTAAACCTCTGTGAGGCCCCTCTTGATTTTCAAAGCTCTTCCAGCCAAGCTTAGGCTGAATAGCAAATTTATAACATCTTTATAAAAACAAAATATCATCCTCCAAATATAAATAAAACAGGGGTGGATGACCTGAGGTCTACAGAGCCTCAAATTGCTCCCCTCTGATCACAGTTGCTAATAATTGGTGGCACAATTTTCTACTAGTAGTTAAGAAGCACCCCAAAATGGGACATGTGCCGTGAATTAGGTTTGATATTGTTAAAAAAAAAAATCAGCCAACAAAACCCAGAAAATCTTGGCCCCATCCATGATGTGCCACAGCCTCATCCACGTTGCATTATCACTCCACTTACTGCCGTTCTTATTTTCTCAAACTATGTGGAATGGAAAGTTGCCTTTGCTGAAATACTGTGCTGAATGTCAACTCCTTAATCTTTTGCCACAAAAATCTTATTTTCCAAAGGTCCTGATACTTCAATTTAAGTTTTAAAAAATCTACCACCTCTTTCCAAAAATGACTCCATTGAAGCTGGGTAACTTATAAATCGCTGGAAAATGACCATGCTTAGCTGTGAAAGCCCTCACTATATTCAGGAAACCTTGCTCACCAAGTGATGCAATCCAGCCAGAGGATTACCATGCATTTCCTTGCCCGCCTGGCTGTAGGAGGATTCAAGCAATATGGCACAGTTTTGATTTTTTTTTTAAAATTAGTTCTTAAATGAAGCAAAGAAACTTATTCTAATTTCCAGGGTCTGTAAATGAAATGTGAGTACATCATCCATATAATTTAACCATTTATACTCAGAATGCACCAGAGCTCTAGTTTGAAATAGCTCGTTGGACTGTAGCTTTGTTTCTGTCTGGCAGGGAAAAACACGATAACAGAAGGCACCTGAAACGTTCTTTCTCTTTCAAATGCCACATGAATCTTTGTTATGTCAGAACCAAACATCGGTAGAAATGCTTTCCACCTTCCACTGGAATTCAGCTTTTATATGAAAAAGATTCCTTGTTCCTGCTTTATATATGCACCTGGAAATATGTCTCATTAAACTTAATGGGGCTTTTTTCTGAAACGTGATTATTATAGATTATTGCATTCATTTGTTGCCCTTTATTAATTCGCCGTTTTTTCAGGGTTTCATTTTATTACGATCTGCGTACTTGTCACACTGCCCTGAAGGCTTACTTATTGCCCGGGTTCGTAAAAACGCCCCGGGTAGAAGGTGGCGGCGGGTTCTACGCAATCAGTGCGGTTAGTTTCCGTGATCCCAGGTAACTGAGTTATTCAATAAACCCTAGTTCAGTGAGACGCAGTTGGTGAGTTCCCCGTTCATAGTTACAGAAGACCAATATAAAAGAAGATTAAAAAATAAATTAGATGTCCCCTCCCCAGTTTTGGAACATTAAATACAGTATATCAGAATATATTCTAAAGAACTTCCCCTTGCCTAAACGAATGGTTAAGCAATTCAAGATTTGGGGGACAGAGTGGAGATGCCGGCGTCATCAAGATCCTGCCTTTCCCTCGGCGGGGATCATGGGAGTTGAAGTCCAAAACAACTGGAGAACTCCGCGCTGGGAAAGCTATACTATTTTCATCCCTCCGCCTGTTCTTTCTCACCACGTACTCGCTGATCTCACCGGGCGCTCTCCAAATCGACGATGCTCGACAATAAGAAAAGGCAATAGGCTTTTAAGTGGCTTCCGCCGCGCCTGCAAGGGGGAGGTAGCGCGCGTGAGGTACCGGAGGAAGGAGGCCAAGGCGCCGCTGGGCGGTTTCCCAACCTCGCCCACAGCCACACCTTTAGGCGCGAATGCTGGCGGCAGAGAAGCCGCGCGCGTGTTGGTGCCCACCCGGGACTTGTAGCCGCGTAGGCGCGCTCAGGGCCACGAGTCGGTCACTGGGGCTCCCCGGCACGCGCCTCTTCCTGGTTTTCAACGTCGCTCGACCGCTCGACGCTTTGTCTTCCCCGCGATGCACAACCGGAGGTGGAGAAAAAGGGAGAACGGAACTGAGTGGCTGTTCCAGGCAGCCATTCCCCCTGTATCTCTTTTCTCCGCCCTCTCCAACCCCTAGGCTTCTTTTTTGTTATTGTAATTTCCCCCCCCTCCATCCACTCCCGTACGGAGTGGGAGGAGTCACTACAAGTACCCGCGGGAGCGGTTGTAAGAGCGCAACGGAGGGGCGCCTGCTGTGAGCTTTCGGCGCTGCACTGAGCTTTAAGCGCGCGGCAGGTCCCGCTTCGCTTCCCACCTCCTGATCATCTTCAGCGCCCCTTTTCTTCTCCTCCGTTCTTTTCTACGCCGGCTGCCACCGCCGTAGCAGAACTATCCCCGGATACCAGCTAGGTGAGTAGCCGACTGCGCCCTGGCAGTGTCCCCTTGTTCTGCCCTTCCTTTCTCCTCTACCATCTCCCGAGCTGGATGGTTTTCAGCCTTGCTCAGATGCCCTGAATGAGAGACCGCGGGTGGGGGGAGAAGACAGACCGGGCTAGGGAGAAAGCCGCGGCGACACAGGGGCCGCCCCGCCTTTCTCCGTGAGGGGGGTCGTAGACACACATTATTCAGCAATGGCTCCGAACGCTTTCCCCGAACGGTTGCACCGATCGACGTGTGCTTCGGCGTCCAGCCGCATGCCAGGCTGGAATCCATTTTGCAACGGCGTGGTGCATGATGCAATGTTTATAGCGATAGGCGATGTGGAGGAGGGCGGAAGCATGCGCCCTGCCTAGGTAGATCGAGCACGCGGGCTGGCGAGCGGGCTGGCTCGGCTTTCCGTTTCTCTCTCCCGACCTTCCTAGGGCGCTTTCAAGGCGACCCCTTCCAACCTCAGATCCTAGGCGCTGAGCTAATTGGGCTTAAGGGATGACAGAAGTCCTTCCTTAAAAGGTCCTTTTTTCGGATCATGCCGGGGGGGCGGCGGCGGCGGCGGTTCTTTATAGTGACTCACCACTTAAAGCACAGCAACCGGACAGTTTCACACTTGATTTGCCTCGAGTTGGCTTCGTCTCGGGGTATCTGCCAGATGCAATTAGCCTACGGATTAAATAAGATGCGCTGCGCTTATTACGCTGAAGGAACTTGTATGGCTTTACTTGTCTATGGAAAGAGCATCGGGAGGTTGCTCAGTTTACTGTTAATGATTTTTTTGTTGTTTTAATGGATGGGGTTTTTTACTGCCTCCTTCCTTTCCCTCTTGAGGTCTATGAACAGGACACAAACAATTGCTCTGAAACTCAAGTCCGCAGAAACAGAATATATTCTAGGCAAATTACACATAAAGTTCCAAGCCGGTTTCAGTGACTTGTCTCCTGTCTCCTGCAGTGAAAATTTTGACTGTGAAAGAAATGAGTAAATCTTACCTGTTTCTTAAGTTTGTGTGGGAAACTGCTTTAGAGCAGGAAGTTATATTAGTATAGTATCAAGAGATTGTTCCCCCCCTTTGCTTTTTAAGTAGCTGTTGTCACCATAAACACCTGTGGTTACTATCATGAAAAGATACTACACTGTCTCTTTCTTAAAATAAGGGTGAACAGCCTATGCCCCCAGCTTTTCTGTTCCCTGGGGACTACTGACCATACTGCTGAGTTGTTTTTTATAATTTTTAATTAAAGGATTTTATACAGTAATAAAAACATACAGATTTAAAGAAAAAGAATAAAGAAAAGTACAGAACAAATGAATAACCAGAAAAAGTAAAGAGAAGAAATGAAAAGAGAAGAAAAGAAAAAAAGAAAAGAAAAGAAAAGATATAAAGAATCGGCTTCTGATCTTTACAGCAGTTATAAATAAATGTATCATCTCTCTTCCCTCTGTAAGGTTAGATCCTAATTCCCTTCTTCCCATATTTTATCCTTTCTAATTATCAAATCCATAAGTCACTAGTTCATTTTTTTCTGTTTTCAGTAAAAAGTTCATAAAGGGTTTCCAGTCACAAATAAATGTACTTGTCTTCTCCCTGATCAAGCAAGTTAATTTTGCCATTTCTGCAAATTCTATCACCTTTATCAACCGGTCCTCCGCTGTGGGTATTTTGGAATAAATTTTTGTTTGTACAAAAACAATCTTCCATGAATCTTTTCATGCTGCTGAGTTTTAACATAGTGTTTACATGCTGTTTTGTGGCATGCAATAGATGGAAACTGTCCTCTAGGCCCTAAAGTAAGCTTAACACAGCTTTAAAAAAATCAGGAAGCTGCTATCACTGGACACAAGATACCGAGGAATGATGTTAGGTATCTGCGACCAAGAATTTCAATGGAGATCATTGTCCTGGTCAGCCTGATTCTGGCTACATAAACTGCATTTGGACATGAAACATGAAAACATGTTTGCACACATGTGGGACTGATCTGTCATGAACCGTGAGTGAGTACTTAGGCCCCAAATGGCTCTGGTGGCTATAGACAGTCCACGTTTCCAAGGGTGCAGTCTTTGTCATGGCTGACTGGCTAATAACTCACTTTTTTTGTAATGGGAAGGGGGGATTAAAACTCCCTGAAGGTTGGAGCCATTGCAGTTATAGGAAAGGAAAAGCTTTGCTTCACTCATTTCCTGTTCCCCTTGGGTGGAGTGCATGGTGGAAGGAAAAAATGGGACAAGAGAGGGTATGCCAAAGGAGTCCAAGTTTGAAGCTACTTTAGCATCCTGAGTCTGTAGAGATTGGCAGAGAGTATTAATTTCTAAGTAATCCTCTCCTCTGGGCATAGAAGACCCAAGGAATTAGAAGTAGCCTGAGATACAGTGAAGGAACTGTATGCCACTGAAGAGTCAGTTTGTGACCAGAGCAGTCTGTAAGCCATGTAAACTCAAATCAGATGGGTTATTCAACAACAAACTGATTGCAAGCTTTTCTGGTTAGCCTTAGACCATTTCTGTTTTTGTGTGTGTGTGTGCGCGCGCAAATCCAAACATTGCACACAATGCTAGTTCAAAGTAGTTTGGTTTGCTATTTTGGCTCCTTAGAAGCCACCATTTGTCTGAGTTGTACACAATAACAGCCTGCAATCTATTGTTAGGATTTTAAAATCTTTTTTTCCTTCTGTGTGCTGAGAAGACAGAAATGTGCAACCCACATAGGTAACAACAGGACATGTATACTACTATGTCTGAACCCTGCCAATGAAATGAACTGACATTAAAAATTTTGTAATTTCTGGATTGGCTTTATTTGATTCTGAAACTGAAGGAAGGAAAAAGATGGGTGCAGTTAAATAAGCAAGAGTGAAAGTAACATGTGTGTGAACTGGTTCAAATGAATGCAGACTTTTGTGCTTTTATTACTTCTGCAATTATAATTTTGTAATTATGGTGTAATTATCTGATAACAAGCGTTCAGCTTTGTTTAAGCTTGCCTTTTGAAGTACAGGTAGTTCCTGGGTTAAGAACGCCCAGTTTATGGACAACCCATAGTTAAGAACTGAGACTACTGTAGCAAAATTCAAGTTAAATACACAATGATTCAAGTTAAATACATAGTGGTTTGAGTTCATTACACAATACTACTTAAACACTATTATACAATAACACTATTATACAATAATACTGTTTGGGCTTACATACAAATTCGACTTAAGGACAGGCTTTGGGAATGGAACTTGTTCTTAAATTGGGGACTACCTGTATTTTGTGTATTGTTAGGACTAATTCATGCTGCTTTTTGTTGCTTATGGAGTTAATGTACAGTAGTACATTACAGCTTTTACTGCAATTTCATCGATTTCCAAAGTTCATTTTGAGCATAGGCTATGATGCAAAATTGCTGCAGCTGTGACCTACCAAGTTGTATTGATCATACCTAAATGTGGGCTCCTCATACTGTTGAGCACTGTATGCACTCTACAGAGGAATAATTAGACCTTCAGCTACTTGGTGTTAGTCCGGGTCTGCTCCCAGGTACAAGATATCAGAGAAGGAAAATATAAAATAGAAAAATTGGGTGATACTTTGGTAGGTATGCACACATGAGCATGTGGCTGCATTTGCATTTTTAGAATGATTTGGAAAGAGGGCCAGAAATGGTGCTTCCTAAGCTTTGACGCCCCAGGCCAGTGCCTATTCAGCCTTAGCCTAAAGCTGGCCTGGTGCAGCTGTTATGACATACAACCACACTTTCAATATTTCAGTATAAAATGTTCCCCCTTCTGTTTGGACAGAATGAACTGTGACAAGATAAACTAAAAATATAGTTTTCATTGTCTTTGTAATTAGCTTCTTAGCATTTTAGGAAGTGACTTTTTCAATACATAATTTGCTACCCTCAGTGGTTCTCGGTACATAAAACTGCATAAATGCAGCCTATTGTAATTTGCTATCCTATTCTACTTATCCTAGTTTTCATTAAGCCTTTGTTTCCTTGAGAGCTTTTTTCTTCCTTTATTATGGAAATCACTTGTATGCCATCTTGGTAAGTAAAAACTTAAAACAGAGAAGGTATACCTTCCTTTCACCTATCGTAATCTATCTGATTCATGCTCCTATATCTAGTGAACCTGTTTTAAATTGCATTTGGAGCAGCAGTTAAGTTTTGTGTCCTTATGTTCTGTGTAGAAAATGATCCAAGCCATGTACTATCCTGGCCATATAGTAACTTCATGTCCTTTATGAGCTTCAGTGCAGACGTCAGCTGTGACGTTCTTTGGTAACATCCTGTTTGGACTATTGTATTGCAGTATGCTTGGTTCAAAATAGGTCCTTTAGATTACCAACTAGACTGAGCAGTTTCTACCATAACAGGTCTGTACTTCATCAACTGCAGAAGCTTCCAGTCCATTTCCACACCCATTGTAAGTGCTAGTTTTAACCTGTACTGGTATGTAAAGTACAACATATTAGAAATGGGTGTCAAACTGGTGTTTCGGCCTGTCTTTGTAAGAAGCTTTAAGGTTCACCCATATCTTTCATCTAATGTTTTATATATGCCAATTTGAAGATATCCTTTTAAGTTAGCTAATGGTATGATGATTTGTCAGATAGGTATTTGCAGTTATTAGTTGTTCCATAGAGATAACTTTTAATTTAACTAACAGAACACACAATTTCCTTTAATGTAGTTCACTGGAAGAAAATCGTAATTCTCTTTTATTTAATCCTACTAGGTTTTTGAATCGTTGAACAGATTTGGAAGTTTAGCAGCATGTCCTGGGCATTCTCCCAAAATGGCTAGCAAGGATAATGTGATCAAGCACAAAACATCAAAACAGATCCCACACCTCCTCCCTCTTGCTTCCTTACCTGAAGCTGTCTACCAATTCAGTTTGCCTTTGCCTTTTTTTCTAGACAGATGGGCACACTTACAAACAAAGCTCTGGGCTTCAGCCATTGGCCTTTTAAAAAATAAGCTTTCAAAT